ATATGAACTTCTGGTCTTAACGGAACTGAGAGGATGACTAAAAACTCGTCTTTTACGAATGTATCCCATACATACTTCCGTTTATTATCTGCTGCGAGGGACGTTGGTTCACTGTATCGTGAGACAATATTTTTTTCTCGTCAGAATCTAACTTACACATTTATAAGTCTATGCATTCGTCTATGCATTGAATTTTGCTGTCATATGTGGTTTGATGCTCTTGATATATATTTTAAAATTCTTGAAAAAATCCCAAGATTGTGCAATACAAATCTCGATCTGGCATCTCGGCTTCACTCACTTTCCCACCGCTGTAACGTAAGTTCCATTTGCCTTTTCTATAAATATTTTAATGGTATGAACTTTCTCATATTTACTTTAGTTTCTTCTATATAAACTGTATTTATTGTAAATATTCATTATAGTTTCATTTTTAAATCTTGCTATTTTTATTCCCCGCCCCTACAGACAAATCGTACATATTTAGTTAGAACTTCATAGAGACTCTGAGGTATTATGTTGGCTGTAGTAAGAATGGTAAGTAAGAATGTCTTGTTTTGGCGTAAGGTATACTGTGGTGTGCTTGGATCAGTAATTGTAGCTAGCTAAGTTTAAGACAGATTGAAAACCCAGCGTCCCCCGATCCCTCCTTTTGGCCTTGTGCCACATTTTTGTATTAAAACAAAATGAATATTACTTGTTTCTATGGTACTTAGTTCAGTTTTAAAAAGAGAGAATTCTATCAAAATCCATGTTGGCCTGGAGAAAGATATCTCGTGGGTTCTCAAATTGTTATCATTCAATTCACAAATGCGTCTACTTGGTCTGCCTCTCGCTCTCCAGCTAGAGTACCTGAGGGTGTATGTCCGTAGGGCTGGTTGGTTGATAGGCGTATGGGTAAGGTGTCGAACCACTTGATCCTCTAGTTGATAGGCATATGCGTAAAGTGTCGAACCGCTTGATGTATTGTATGATTGGTATTGCACCTACCATATCTCTTACTGTCTTATTCCTCATCTAGTCTCGTCTGGTCTTTTTCACTGCTTCAAGGCCAGGCGGAACTTAGACTTTATGAATTATATCGCAGTACTAGATTGACAGAAATGTCTCATCATTTTACAGTTGAAATGGTTAGATGTAACCGTAAGTTCTATGCTAACAGTTTCTTCTATCGCACTTCTTGCTTGTGGAACTCTCTTCCGGCTTCTTGCTTCTCAGCCAAGTTTGATTTTTTAAAATTTAAATGCCATGTTAGCCAGAAGCGTCTTCTTTATTCCTGTTCTTTTCTTCTTTAATTAATACTGTGTTTTTCTCACATTCTCTAACACTTCGTAACTCCTTGCTCTTAGTAGTTGTATTAATTTGCTTAGGTTGAAATGAATAATAATAAATAAATATATATATATATCTATATATATACAGTTAAAAGTTATAAACAGCATTTCTGATCAATCAAAAGATTTGCTGGGCACATCAGACAACGACATTTGTAATCCACGTTTTGAATATATGCAATAAACGTAAAATTTTATTTGTGAGGATTAGCATATTCCAGTGTGTTTCTTATCAAATACAAACTGGACAGTTCATAACATTGCGTTCAATATAACAATGAGAATCGACCGTGTGGTCTTTTTTTGCCGGCAAGTTACGACTTACATTACCGAATTTCTCTCACCATCAGATAGTAAAAGGATAATTTCGGATAAAAGAAAAAAAAATCATGCAAGACGGCATGACAAATAATGAAGAAGATGGAATCACTCTATAAACTGCGTTAGTCACCTCGGATATTCGAAAATGGCAAGTCTCCTTATACTGTCACAATTTTTTAATCATTTCTTCCCAAGCAAGGCGGGAATATGATTAGTACGCAGAGAGCAAAAGTAAGAGAAAATACTGAGTCTAAGGAGGATTGAGGAAAGGACAAAATATGAACGGGATTCAAGAAAATAGAAGATGTCGACTGACGTTGTATTGAAATTTTTGAAGATTGAAGTTATCAGGGAAGCAAGTAAACGGAAGGGAGTTATACAGGTGGGAAGTGTGAGAAAAGAAACTGTTGGAATAGAAGTGGTGGTTGCATTTAGCTATTTCAACAGTAAAACGGTGGGACCTAGATGCCAATCTAGTAGCACGTTTAAATTCATGCTGTCACGGAATAAAGCTCGCCAGAGCGGTTGCCATGAAAATATTTGTAGAAAAGACAGAGGGAAGGCACGCTTCATCGGTGATAAAATGACTGAAGTCGAGATGCCAAACCAGGATCAATTATATTACAGATCTGTCTTTTGATTTTGTCAAGAACCTCACGATGAATAGCAGGAGCACCAGACCCGATATGGCGACAATATTCAATGCACGGACGAATGGTAGATTTGTAAATATGCAAGATGGACTCTGACGAGAAAAAACATTATTGTGCGATAAAGTGAGCCAACTTTCATTGCAGTAGATGCAGCTATTGATTCAATGCAGTCACTCCAGTTCAAGCCAAGAA